TGTGGTCTGCTTCTGTAGCAAAGAAATATATTGAAGTTCACCTCTCATCACTTCCACAGGCTCCATGAATCCACTCATCGAGAACGATGTATGTGGTACACGTGTACGGACGTGTACATGAAAACAAAATTATTGGTACCAATACATAATGGCATCCAAATGGTTAAGAAAAGCAGTGCATTCAGAAATTCCTTTATCAACAAAGAAAGAAAATAGAAATTAACTGAGGAAAATGTCTGGGTGTCTGAATCCATAATTCTCTCCCTCTGAAATTAAGAGAAACTTCGCAATGGTAGTTTAGTTCAGTGAGACGTTTGACTTCCCACATCAGTGGAAGGAGAATCTAGGAAGCAAATATTTCTCTCCTTCTGTGTCTTTTTTCAAGATTTCAAAATGTTTCCTTGTCTTAGGAAAGTGTGAAATGAAAAGGCATTTAATGATCTGAAAATGAAGCGGTGGGAGCAGGAAAAAGTTTTCAATAATCTAATTGTTTAATAAAAACATAAACATATTATGTTTTTTCATTTTATTTTTAGCATTTAACTTTTTGTGAATATTTTTAAACCAGCAATCTGATCTGAGTTCTAAAAATCTAATGCTGAGAACCAAACAGTTAAGTAAACTAAAAATGAAGAAATTGATTTTGAAAATGTAATAACATCTTCTAGTGATATATTCAAAACATTTTTTCTATATTTTTTTTTGTTATTTGCAATATCCCATAAACAGATCTGTTGGGTGGGAACTATTCAAACAGGAAAAAATCCAACCGATTTAAAGGGGAGCTACTGACACAACATATGTAAGAGATGCAAGAAAAACAAATGTAGGAGTTATTTGGAGCAAAGCAAAGTGTAAGTTAGCTGTACAAATCCCCTACCACATACGTTCTTACAAATTTCTTCTCTTTTTGAGTCAAATCACAGCCTGAAGCCAGACCTGCTCCTCTGATGAGCACCTCAGGGCAATACCGAGCTCTCTCAGGCTCAAACCAGATCAGCTGGCCTTGGGGCAACCGGGCTGGCCCTGAGCGAAAGCCGCATTCCCCACAGAGCTGGCCCCGTGGTGATGCAGGGACCTGGAGGTGTTTTGGTCCTCAGGTCTGGCTGCGGCAGGGCTGGATCTGTGCTCTTCTTTCATCTGTCTCCTCTGGCTGCCCAGGATTGCGGCAGGGGAGCTGGGTCACAGAGTTCCCCCAGTGCCACCATCCCCAGCACTGCTCCCCTGCAGCCAGCCCTTTTATGGCTCTTTTACACCAAATCATCTGTCTCACCAGGTCCACAAGTCATCCCTTTGATCTCCACATTGCCTTCCTGGCAACAACCCCATCCAGAGGGACAGAAACTAAAGCAATGCCGTTGATGCGTTATTTCAGCACACAACCCAGAGCCCAGGTCTGTTGCTGCTGCTCCACGTGACTGGTAGAAGGCTTTTCACTGCCCTGCCAGCACCATTCATCACCGCTGCCCACACCGGCGCTGAGGAAACTTTTCGCCAAAGAACCGACGGGAATGTCCCTCCTGGAAAGGGGGAGGAATAGCCTGGTGGGACCAAAGGGAAATGTAATCAAAACAGAAAAGCAATGGCACTGCATTGCCCTCAGAGCATTACCCAGAGTTGCCCAGAGTATCATTGCCCAGAGTTGTCTCCTAGAAATAGATTAAAAACAGGCATGATGGAAAATTGCCATTTCATTCTGATCATGACTGTAAAGACAACTAACATGAAAATAGCCATGGTATATTCAATTCACGCATTCTGTCTCAAAACTACATTTGTAGAAACACACTTCCAGTGGTGCTTTGGGAAGAGCTGGCCCGGCTGGGGAGGGCAGCAGCACAGGGCTCTGCAGATCTGCCTGGGAAGGCTGGTGTTCACAAGTACATCCCCAACTTCGAGACCTGGGGTGGAGAAGGAGCAGCACCGTGCACACCCAGCAGCTCAAGGAGTCAGACGGACAGCCCAGACCTGCTTGCAAAGAGGGGATCAACACCGGCCTGACCTGAGGCTCGTGGCTGGAGCCCAACACTCACTTCAGCCCACAGCCCACCTCTACTGCAACAGAACAGTGCAAGAAATTTTTGGTTATGTGTTTCAATCTTTTAAAATCTATGAAATAAGATACCATTGTTTCCCTCATTCTTTAAGTTACATTCATTGTGTGGCCACATAACTGGTATTGCTAGGATCATGTTCTACTATCATTATACCAAAAAACCTAAATATTTACTGGAATAATCTGTCTCTCAAGATACTAATCAAAGCAGGTTTTTGAGATTTCAATGCTTCTGAAAACTCTTGATTTGAAAAATTCCAGGACTGGCTCCCAATAACTGTGTTATTAAAACTGTACATCAGCAAGGGCATTTCTTCTTTCATCTTCTATCTTTTGTATGCTTTGTTAAGTTAGAAAACCAAATCAGCATAAAATGCTTTCCAAGGGAAGGGAGATTTGTATTCAGATTTAATCTAGTGATTATAGTTCATTTGCTGTAAACAGCTCCTTCATCAAGGCCATCAGGTGAATTATTAACCTCTTCCACCCTCAAATAGAAAAATACCTTCAGTCACAAGGAAGCAATGCCAAAAAGAAAGGTTACACAGCTTGTTTGCAGGCACATCAGTAAGGCTCACTCTGCAACGGAAAATACAGCTTGGGGGGGGAAGGCAGGGAGAAGACCTCCTGACATCCGTGGGGTAGACGAGGTGGCCATCCTGGTGGGAGCAGTAGTGTCCTGGCATCCTGGCACCTCGCTGCTTCTTGGTGGCTCTGCCTCTGCCTGGCCACATACTGCAACACGTGGTGAGAAATACATTCCTGGGGAAGCGTTTCACCAAAGTGGCTGCTATCTCAAAGATGACGTTACTGCAAATGATCTTCTGCTGCTCCCATCCTCCAGAACAGCAGAAAGGCCACTGCCGGCCAGCACGGAGCAGTAAGCATTCCTCGCAGGCTACTCAAAGGGTTACTACGGCCAAACCTCACCAGTTAACTCCCTATCAGCTCCACAAGAGCCTGGCGTGGGTCTGGCATGTCTCCAGCCCCTGGGGTGCACCCTGACATTGGTATGACTGGTAGTTTCAGCAGACCACTGGTTTCAAGCAGCTGGGGAGCAGGCACAGAACAGGTAATACAACTTCTGAGCAATAAATTCAGCACATAAATAGAGTAGCAGTTAGCAGGTACATGCTGTTGTCCCTCTAGTCACTCCTGACACTGGTCTCCAGGCTCTGCAACGGGTAAGTGAGGCATTTCTGGGTGCAGGCTGTGGGAAGGGGACTCTTGGCTGTGCTGGGGGGGTAGGATTTTAATTTGGACTTTCTCCCAAGCAAAGGATTATTTGGGCCAATAAAGCCAAACAGGGTGACAGAACAGCTCTGGCAGCAGTGGGAGGAAAGGAAGAGAGAGCAGATAAAGAAAACCAAGGTGGGAAGGCTGGAAAATGAAGGGGCAAATGGGGTACGTCGGTAAATGAGGATCAAGGCGAATTCATGGTATTCTAAACTGTAGGTAAGGGAAAGGAGGCAGAAGCAAAAATTAGTTTAAATAGAATTAGAGAGAAAACAATAAAATAAACTCAGAAAAGTGTCTGTCCTGCCCTGCTGTTAGCAGGGAGCCTGTCACTCCCAAGGGAAGCACCCAGCAGCAATAGCAGGTAGCATTCCCCTACTGACCTCCACAGACTCCCTCTGAAATTCGGGTCCACCTGCAGGGAGGGAGGTACTGGGACGGCTCCTGGTCACACTAGAGCATCCATTTGTTTCAGAATACAAATCATCCCCATATGAACTAGTACAAAACCAGCATCTTGCTTTACCTGATCTCCTTAAATCATAATTTTGCATTTTGCTGTTGTATCAGACTGCTGGGAGTTTTGAGAACAAAAGCTCTTGAAAGCAGATGTATTTGAGTCAGCAACCACAGAACTTCATCTTTGGCCTGTGTACTTTTTAAGAAGTAAAATAATGCCTCAAAGGTACAGGAAAAAGAAAAAAATCGGGCATCAGCACCATGCAAGGGAATTTTTTCCAAGGAGCTAAAAAGCCCGGAGGCACCCTTGACTCCCTGCAGGCCATCAGACCGGCTGCACTCACCAGCCGAGGGAAGGTAGCACTAAAGGCGGGGACCTGGACATCCCCCAGCTCGTGCACCAGCTCAGATCCCAGCTGCTGAATCGGTCATGCTGGTAATGCTCAAGGCAGAAGTCACCGTGTTTGTTTCTTTCTTTCTCCATTTCAAAATGAATCTGCTGACAGAGGCAAAAACAAAGTAAAGGGCTGCCATGAACAGAGGGGCACTGCTGTACCCCAGCCGCACCCACCATCCCCTCACTTCTGAAATGATTCATTTTGTTCCAAAAAACAGACCCTAGCAGTGGGGCTGTATCAGGCTTTGAAAAGTACTGCACAGTGTGGGGGGAAAAAAAAAAGAAGGAAAAAAAGCAACAATAAAAGTACACTATAAACCAAGTTCACTATTCTGTTACACCGAGGCAAAAAAAATCATTAAGAGTCACCGGTAGGTCGAGCTTTACCCATTTTAACTGGTCACGTTAAAGCAGAGTGTGGTTGTTTCCAAACTGTGTTTACTGCTTTCAAATCCTAGTCTAGAGCAAGGGCTGAGAGGTCTCCCAGTAGAAAAGACTTCCTCCTGCTTCTAATAAAAATTCCCATCTACCTCAGGGGTGTGATCCCAAATGAGGGCAAATGGAAAATGAGGAACCATCCTTGCCTTTAACCTGATCAATACAACTGCCAAAAACCAGCACGTATTTAATAAATGCAATGTAGATTGCTTTATTTGACCTTCTGTTCACAAAATAATTTTATTATATGTATGAAAGCAGCATACAGGCAATAAAATTATGAAAACATTCACAATACATAAATACACAGACCTGATGCAGGATGTATATAGTTCATTAGACTTTAAATTTTTTTTCCTCTCAGTTCTCTTTTCCTGACAACACTTCTTTTTTTTTTTTTTTGATATATGTTATGAAAAATTGCTCCAAAGGGTATTTTCTCCCACTCAGAAAACAAATAGCTTTCCTTGAATGCTGCTGAATATTAACACCCAGTGTTCCTGTTGCTAACGTTCACCCATTGCTTTTGGCATTACAAAGGGAAAGCAGAAGGGAAGGGCAATGAAAAGTAGCAGTTTTTTGAATTAAACATTGGCAACTTTTTTGGAGCTCGCAGGACGTTTTTGAGGTGGGGGCTGCAGTTCCATCCATATTTAGAAACGTCTTAATCCCAAATGGTCATGAGGCACTATTCCTTATTGAATGGACTGTTGACATGGTAATTACTAAAATGTAATGTCCTCCCAGTTTCCAAAGTAAAGCACTAGGTACCTTACTTTTTAATTCTGACTGTGATGCAGGAGCAGACAGACAGCATGATCCTGGTGGTACTGCAGTACGAATGATGAGGAGGGTTGGCATGTTTACTACCATTATAACCAATCGTGTTTGTTCAGAAAAGATATCCAAGACTTGAAATAAGAAAAGTCTGAGAAAGCTGTTTATCTTACATAAATACAAAACATTATATACTAAGAATTGTTATCTAAGAAGCTTTTCTTCTCAAATTGGATTCTTCTTAAGGTTGTAGTCATATTTAAGGTATTTACAGATCCACAAACTTGACATTCTAGCAAAGTCTTTGTAACATGAAACTTTTTTTAAAAATAAATAGCAGCAATTTCTTTTATTTCTATAAGGGAAGAGAATTCACAACTCAGTCAACGCTGGTCCTATCTTTTGAAAGAAATCCCACTTAAAACAAAACAAAAAAGCCCACAAGCAAACGAACTCCACACAGCATCGGTTTTGTTGATTCCTTCATTTCTTGCTGAGCTTAACATTCCTTCATTTCCCTCAATGGCTCTCCAGACTATCAGAGCTTGTAATAAAGTGCTGACTGGTTGACTGGTCAAAATGCAGTTATGACACTCCAAAAATATCCCATTATTTAGACGTCTTAAATAACATAAATAAAGCTAGATCTGTTATAACATATGAAAAATATCAATTTAAAACAATAAATAAATAAAACCAGTATCAACATATTACCTCCCAAAGCTTTAAAAATAACCATTCTAGTTATAAGGCTCAATTATTTGTCAGAAATAATTTTAAGAAGGCATCTACCTACCTTTACAATCCTTCAGTCTTTAATTAGGACCTGTTAACACCCACTATCACGAGACACAGCAATCATTTAACTTCTAGTAAACATTAATCTTTAAATACTTAACATTTATCTTTTGCCTCATTTTAAGCTAGAAATTGGTTTCTCTGTGTGGAGAAGAAGCAATATTTTCTTTCTCACTGCACTGTATCCAAATTTGTGTATTTTCCTCAGTATGAACTGAGCACAGTTTAATATCCCTTTTTTAGCCAATTTTCAGTATCTTTTTTTTCTGTTTATTGTTCTAACTGTTAAATTTGCTTCAAATACCAGGAAAATTAATTCTGGGCTTGGTGTAAATGTGTATTTCTCCCTAGAGCTTAGTTTCTTACTAAAAAATCTTGTATATCTTTTTTCTTTAAAAGGTCATTTCAATACACACTATTAGGTCTTGCTGGGTAAACCTTATTGTTCAGGTTTTATGCTGCCCATTTTGTGTAATGGGATTGATCTTTTCCAAAGAAACATCAGCTTCATAATCCAAGATACCCGACAGTGCTGGAGACATCTCCAAGGTCTTAGATAGTTCACCCTCTTCTTCCTTTTTGAGAGGTTCTTCTTCTGGACAGATAATTGCATGGGGAATCAGATAAACCAGATTAGACTCTTTGGGGCTGGACCCTTTGGGCTCATGTTGGCTTGAGAAAACAACTGCTCCATTATTGTTAATACTAACAGTCTCTATAGCATTGCTGGACATAGGGCAGAGCCTGTAGCATCCTAGCAGGGTCGAAAACGCCTTGCGGAAATCAGCATTGAAGGCATAAATGATGGGGTTGAGGGAAGAATTAGCCCACCCAAACCAAACAAAAACATCAAAGGTGGTGGAATTAATGCAGAAAGCTTCTGCTCCCTTGGACGGTTGGGTAGGCTCGCAGAAGGGAATCATGCAGTTCAATACGAAAAACGGCAACCAGCAGCACACAAACACCCCCATGATCACTGACAAAGTCTTTAAAACCTTTGTTTCCCTCTTGAAGGACATTTTGAAGTTGCTCTCTGGTTGCTGGCAGTCCATACTGCTTCTGTTGCCACTCGTGTTCTGGCAGTTCTTGGCATGCACTGCTGCTCTCTCCAAAGCTGAGATGCGTCGTATCTGCTTCTGAGCAATCCGGTATATCCTCGTGTAAGTTACTATCATGATGGCCACAGGTATATAGAAGCTAATTAGAGAAGAGGAGATGGCATACATCCTGTTTAGGCTAGAATCACAATTGTCCATGCTTATACCTTGTAAACTGGCATTTAGGTCCAAAAAGCTCGTGGTTGTAGCCTTGTGCCAGTTCAGTTGCACAGGGATGAAGGAAATCAACACAGACAAAGTCCACGCCACACTGATCATGATGAAGGCTGCCTTGGGTGTCATTTTCCTCTCATACCTAAATGGGCTGGAGATGGCCCAGTATCTGTCCACACTAATGACACAGAGATTTAAGATGGAGGCTGTTGAGCACATAATATCAAAGGCCACCCAGATGTTGCAAAATGAACCAAAAGGCCAGAAACCGGCGATCTCAGCCACAGCCTTCCATGGCATGACCAAAACCGCCACTAAGAGATCTGACACGGCCAAGGAGATGACAAAGAAGTTGGTCACCTTGGACCTGAGGTGGCGAAACCTAATGACAGCTGCACAGACCAGCGTGTTTCCCAGCAGCGTGGAGAGGATCAGCAGCGAGAGAAAGCAGCCCGTCAGGATCCGAAAGGAAGAGTCCCTTTCCACCAGCAACCCTTCCCCGTCCATAGTGGTGTCGTTCCAAGTCATAGTTTCTCCTGAGGGAAAATCATATCATGATTTTCATGACGACATCAGCTCCTTTCCTTGCAGAGATCAGAGACATCAGACGTCTATTAATTACTCATCACCAAACAGACCAAAGGTCCTTTCTTACAGTCCCTTCACCCCTGGATGGACTTCACCCACTTTGAATCTCCCTGAAACACTGTGAAAGCTCTACGGGCAGGAACTGAAAATGCACTAATACAGTTCACCCTACAGACCGGTTTTCTAAGCAATCCCTTCAGAAACACACTGCACCACCCCAGTGTGAAGTAGCCTAATTCAGACAGCTCACCTGCAAATGTTCTGCTGCTGTCCTCTGCAAATACAACCCACAGACAGGAAAGCAATCACTTCTCCATGCTTGCATATATTCCCACTTAAATAGACTATTGATCGAGTGTTTCCAGCGTCCATGGCACTAGCCCTTCATATTTACTGGCACATACTACACAAGGTGCTTTTTCTCTAGTTCAGTTTCCTAAATGTCTTGCTGATGAAACACTCTATCCTTCCTCCTCAGCTCACTCCTGTTACAAAATGCATCAGTTCTCTGTTTCTGGGCAGCATCAGAGAGCAATTCTTCACTTTGTTTCAAACTGTTTAAGTTTTACACTTCCGAGACAAAGAAAATAAACATACAGTAGGTGCGTTTTAAAGGTTTTAAGTAAGAAGTAGCTAAGGTTATTTAGTTTTACTTAAACGAGAAATGCTGGCTCCTACCTTTCACCTCTGATTCTCTGTTTGCTCTGGGATGCAGGGCCGCTTCTCCTCCTCTTTTAGTTTTGGAATTGCATAGCAAATCTTATATACAAAACCAACACAGAAACACTGCATTGCATTGGGGCGGGGGGGGTGGGGTGTCCCTGAAAGTGCAAATTGGCAGGGGAGAATTAAAAAACAGGAGCTGGCAGAGTTTGACCATCAGGAGTTAGTTTTCAAGGGAGCAGCAGGTCTGCGCTGTCGGACCATGCATGACGGACCCTGCCGGCGTGTGCCCAGCTACCACCATCCCACAGTCCCTGCTGATCACTCTGCAAACTTTGTTGGCCAGATCAGTCCCAGTCGCACTTTGTACATCCCGTTGAAGTGGCACATCAGGGCAAATCATCCCAAGCAAAAGGCACGGTATTCCCAACACTGGCAAGAGCCGAGTACCAGTTCTTTCTTCTGTCATTCACTGGAAGGAGAAAGAAGGGCGAGAGGAGGAGAAGGACCTGAGTGACCTGCCCTCGGCCACGACGCGGGGTGCGATGCCGGCGGTGCCCGCAGCGGGTTCCTCTTCCAGCGGGGAGAAGTCGCTTTATCGCTCCGCTGCCAGGTTATAGCTCCCCGCAAGCACCCCAGAATAATCCCACCTCCTGCTCAGCGGGGCTGCGCTCCAGGGATCGGGTCCAGCCTTTACCATGCTTCTTCCCCTCTCAGAAGGGCGCAGGCGGAGGCAGCTCCTCACGCTCGCCCGCAGCCTGCCCCGGGCCGCGCATCTCCGCTGCCGGCGGGTCCCGGCGGCCCAGGCTTTCTTCTGCCCGGGGCAGGGCTCGGCAGCATCGCCTCTCCAGGGAAGGTCTGTCTGCCCGGCGTCTCCTTCCTAAAGGATTAAGATGAAGGAAAGACAGGCGTGGAGGCAGGCGGCGGGAAAAAAGCAACCCCCCTTCGCCGCTTCTAACATCTTCGGTCGGGCGCAGCTCCTCCCGGGCAGGCTCTCCCCGTTTTTTCTGCCTTCCTGGGGAATAACGTCCCGGCCAGCCAGGCAGCCGGGGCGAGGGGCAAAGCCGGGCTCCTGGAGCGGCTCTCCGGGAGTTTAGCGCAAACGGGATTACTTTGCCCCGTCCCGAGATCCGCCGAGCTTCGGGACGCCCGGGGCGCTGCGGGATGCGCGATTAAACTGCAGTTAATCGGTGCGGAAAGTAAGTAAGTACCGGCGCCCAACTTCGGGCCGGGCGATGCTCCGGAGGCGGGCGGCAGGCCGAGGAACC